AACTGAGCAAAAATATCAGGAAAATTCTTTTGATACCTTTGAACCTATCAAGCATTTCTAAGTTTCACATCTGCGACTTTAGTACCAAACAATGAAGCCTTAAAATAAGCCTACGTTTCCCAAAATCAATTTTTTCTTACTTTCAGCTACCAATGAAAAAATGCAAAATTCAAATGCACCACCATACGGTACGAATTAAAAACAAAGTTTTAAAAAATTTCTACAGTCCTATACAGTTCAATTTTCAATAATTTAATTTAATTTGTTTTCTCAAAACTTACAACTTCACACAATACGGTAACTTTTTAAAGACCTTTCCCAGCACCCAGAAGACTGTTGTTCGAATGAAAACCAGGACTGCTTTTGCACATGTTGAAACATACGCTCCAACACAAACTCTGGACTTAGAACTATGTTTTGCAAAACTGGTGAGACTGAACGGTTTAAGTTGATCCAAAAAAAAGCTTCTCTATTGAGCAACCTTAAGCACCAAATCCAAGAAAACGAATAAATCAAACTTTGGTATCTGGTACCACCTGCAGCAAAAAATATAACAAAAAAATTAAGAAAAAATATTTGGCTATTTCAAAAAATAAAGGTAACAGAATAAAACTTAAGACTAGATAAATGTTGCTAATTTTGCAGGCACCACTGTGCAACATCTGATTGTCACCGCTGAAGTTTAGTGACCACATCGAGCAGCGCTGTGTGAAGTGTTGAAAAGGTTGCGATCAACGCAAAACTGTCGGGGAAAGGTGACGGATGGTACGACAAGAATAACTCCGTTCCACAGGCAAACCAAATATCTATCGCCGTTTTCATCGACTGACCCGAGCGACCGTCACTGTTTGAACAACTCCTATCTTGCCACTCTGTATATTTACTCTATCTTCTTTACTTTTCAGAAATTATCCTTTATATGCCACAATTCATCTAACCTAAGTCTATTTTACCAAACATCTTAATGACAAAAAGAAAACTTAAAAAACCCTCCCACCTCTGTCATCGGCAGTGCAATCTCCTGACTAATCTGACTAATCTCCTGTTTATAAATTTGATCTGTTTTTCAAGCAATTTTAAACGGTACAATTGCTCCAAATGCCATCCCAGTAGATTTGTAACGTTCATACTTTTAAATTTTTAACAGAACGACCATAAAGGAGGAGTTGAAGATATGAAGAAAACGATCACTTTTTTTGAGCTTTTTTCCTGTTCAAGTTGGTGAAACCCCCTCGTAATTGGAAAACTCTGAAATCAATATTCAAGTTCAGGTTATAATTACGCCAGTACACCCGACTAATATTTTTTAGCCCTTATTATATAAACTATAAAATTTTAGTGCAATTTCATTAGTGTTTAACTCGAATATTTATAATTGACTCCTAGTTCATATCAGCAGATATCAAGAAGTAATGAAGAACAGTGCTTTTCAAATATTTCAAAAGATATTTTGATCACTCAGTTTTTCAAAATAAATCTTCCAGTAATTAACTGAAAAGTTCAAACGGTAGTAATTTTTCTAAATTTAAATTATCTATATTAATTTGCTAAAAGTTAAATCTCTTTATGTAATAAAAGGTTTCAGCAAAAAAGGTAAAAAGTTTTTTTTTAACAAACAACCGGAAATATTGAGAAATATGTCACTGTAAAACAGTGAAGCCCGGCGTTTAATCAAACAAAGTCTTGAAAAGAGCGCATTTTACGCACTTCATAAAGTGTTGCTTTTTACCAACTTTTTTTGTTTGTAGTTAGCCTAAATTTGGTAGGTTTTTGATGGTTTCAGTTAAGTTGAGATAACGATTGAACAACAAAACATCTTTCTTGACAAAAAATGATTACGTCATCACATCTTTTGCTAAGATCTTCTTGCTTTCGGATAAATGTTAAATTTGAATAACCTTTTGGCATTGTTTACTTTACAATCTTATTAGCCTCCTCAAACTAGCAATCTATTGCTATCTTGAAAAAAAAACACCCATTTTGCTAGTTTTACAGCTCACCCATCCGCTTAAAGTATTTCTTTCTTCAAATAAATGCCTTCAACTTTAAACTTGATAAATTTCCTCAATGCTTTATTGATGACCTCGATTATTTATTAACTTACATTTCTTTCACGTTAAAAAGTTAATAAGCATCCATGGCAAAACATGAGCCTGAAATGAAGATAAAGTTACTTGAAAATGACCAATTACAAAGACATAGGGCGACTATTATAATCTTATCGTTTCACCACCTGATTTTCAACAATGTCATGAAAAAATAAAGACAGTTTTGCGTAAACACTGCAGAAAAAAAAAAAATAGAGCAGACTAAGCTGCGCATAAAGGTTCCGCAACTTTTTTGAAGTAGATGTGGCAAACTTACTTAAGATAATACGCTTAAGCCTCGCTAAAATAAAAATAAAAATTTATAAATTTTAACTTTTTTTTTTTACTAGCGAAAGCACTGCAGATGCACAGATTTTGACAGTGTCCCAGCGACTTCTAATATTTACCCCTATCTTTCTTATGCAAAGTGTTAGTAATAATTCATTTGTCAGTTCTGCATTAGTGGTATCACACAGGTACTTGTCCATTTAATGGTGGACAAAAAGCAAAATTTGAGCAAAATTCGCTGGCAAAAGAACAATGCCCACAGAGAAAGAAACGCATTTTATTCTTGAAACCAAAGGTTACTTTAAAACTTATACAGATACGACAAAGCTTAGGAACACTGAGAGTCTAGAAAAAAAAGCTACTTTGATAAAAGACGCTAGAAATGTTACATACTGTACCGAATGGACCAGGAGTTTACTACTGTCCACCTATCCTATATTTCCTATATTTGTTTTTTTCTTTTCAGTTTCCAACCAGCAATAACAGCAAATTTAGCGCATATCTTCTTTTAACAATCTAAGTTTCCTGTCCTCATTGCTATCAACAGCAAATCCGCGTGATTCTGTCCACCGAAATGTCGTGACGCATCGGTAGGACTGAACTAGACAAGTACAAAGCGTATTCCCAAATATCAGGTTTCTGCCTAAACACTGCTATTTAAGGTTGCCGCTGATTTACAGCGAAAATAAACAGAGATTCCTATTCACCATCCTATTTGAGTGACTTTTGCAATTCTGGTGGAAGTTTGCTTGAATAAGTTTCTTAAAAGAAAGTAAAAAAACACTCTTTGCAGCACCTTCTATTTAAATAGTTTAAACAAATATTCATAACTCTACAAAAGATATGTATTTCTAGCCTTCGTCCACATTCCATGTTTACCTTTGACAGCCCGGTTCCTCACACGGCTCAAAATTAATTTCGTTTGTTCAACAGTTGTTGCTTTGAGATAGTCAATACCAATACTACTCTCAGTCAACCACATATCCCTATTTCCTTCGCCTAATTGAACTGGTATGAAAGCAAAATGTAGTTCAAGAACAGCAATGAAAAAAATTGTTGTAAACAGATGTTTGCCATGGAGAGGGAGATTAGGATCAATGAGCTATCGATTTCGGAATTCAGAATTTGGACTTGTTATAGCAGTACTGCTTGACTTCAACAACCTTACGCCTCTGAGACCTCTGTTACAAACCAAAATTTTTGCCGCAAAAAAATTTTGCTGTATAGGTCTTGGCACGAATTACCTCTTTATTGGCATTATTTCACAAATATTTCTGCAATCATTATAGGACTGTGGTTTACATCCTATAATTCTAGAAAAGTTTTAGAGAGATGTTTGGCTAGTCGCTGTATCCGTTTCGATTCTTATCATCTATCTATGGATTTCTCCCATTGTTTTGCGTGTTTGGACCAGTATTTCTTTTATTTTTTTTCAGAGGACGTCGGAGTTACCGGTTAATGATTTTTTTCTACAATATTGTGGTCAAACTAACAGTGTACTGTGTTTTCAGGTAGGCTTCAAAATGGATAAACCAGTTAAGCTAGCTAAGGTTACAAAAATCTTGGGACGAACAGGGTCGCAAGGCCAATGTACTCAGGTAAATAAACTGTGTCTTTTCTGCACTTATTTTTAATTTTTCTTTAGTGATATAATTAACATTTATTAAACCCATGACTTCCACTGTTTTTTGTTTTAACTGTTGTTTCTCTACATTCTCAGTGTTCTTCACTATTTTTTTGTTGTTATTTTTGAATTTAGAATGAATTACTCATTTTTTAACAAGACCTCCGTAGGCTGATGTAATTTTGAACGAAGTAATTTTTAAGGTTCGGGTTGATTTTATTGATGATCCCAATAATCGTTCGATTATCAGGAACGTTAAAGGCCCTGTTAGAGAAGGCGATATTTTGACTCTTCTTGAAGCAGAAAGGGAAGCTCGTCGTCTTAGATGATGCGCCACTTTGTGCGTATATTTTGTTAACTTTTACATGGACTATTCGTTCGCAAAATGAATAAATGGTTTGATTATTTGTACACTGCTTGGAGTTTGTGGCAAGTGATTATGACTACTGTTCTGGCGCACCTTAATTTTGTCTCTTATCAATTTGGGAATAAATAATAGTTTTACTGGATCAGATTTTATGGAATTCACAAATTCAGCTGCTGTGGGAACTAATTTTTTTTTTTTAAAGTAGCTGTCCAGCAGTTGTACTTTGTCGGGGTTTTACTGACTTTGGTAAAATCGTATAATCAGAATTTTTTTGGTCTGTAGTAGGTTTTTCTTGGGTGCTCAGTTGGATGCTCCGTACTGTGGGTAGTTTTTGTCTTCAATTCTTGGTTGGCTGTTTATTGATGCCACCAGCGAGTGCTGGTTCTTTTCTAACCGGTTTGTCATAGATGTCTTATAATCCCGCCGTTTTGAGAGCTGGCATTTGCATTACATTATAAGGAAGTCAATAACGTTTGTTGCTGATGATATCTGGGGCTGTTAGTTGTACATTATTTTAGTTGTCCAGTCTACAGAACTCGTATTGAGCGGAGCTGCTGCTCGGATATGTCACAAGTAGTCTTAGATAGAGTTTTGCGGCAAATTTAGGTTGGTTTTAGCAGTGACTGCTTCTCATTTACGAATTTTGGTGAAGAGGTGTAATTTTATTACATGAAACTTTGGGAAAAACTTTTCTGCCTTTTTTGAGAAAATATAGATCCGGCTGGAACTTTTGGTATTTATTTCGAAACTTTGAGGGGAAGAAGTTCAAGATGCAATCCATTATAGCGAGAAAGGTATTGTACACAACCGCCAAATGCAAAAGTACTTCTTGTTATAGCTTTAAATTGGTAATGGTTGGGGAAATTCATAAACTTGCTGGTGAAGCAGAAGTGGCCAATGTCTTCATCGCAAAAGGCTGTGAAAGGAGGACCCATGCATTAGATTGGTCATATCGCCTCGACAGGGCAGTTTATGCATCTGCTGGCGATATTTGTATTGGGACTCTTGAGGTCAGCAGTTTATTCATAAGGATAGGTTACTATTTACTATTTCTTTAGTTGGTAGGTGTTTTAGTGGTATCTTGCCATTCAAAATACAGCAGAGGTAAAACGTTATTCAACGCAAAATATTATTCTAAACCTTTTCCAGGACACTCCTCGGACAGAGCTGACAAAAGCAACACATTTATCCTCTGTAACTTATGTCAGATTGTTTCGGTGGTCCGGAAATACTAGCAGCGGTAGTGTCAGCAGCAGTTTCTGAAGCTATATGTGCAAAACTTGGATTACTTTTACTGTGCTTTTTACTACAAATATAATCAATTATTTTCAGCTGCGTATGACTTGGTGGTATCGGGTGACGCGGGGGGAATGACTTGTGTCCATAAGATCCTAGAGAAGAAAGGCATTACAGAAATTTTGTTACTTTACAAAGGTTCTTTTAGCAGAATTAGTAGTTCGTTTTCTTGACCGTTTATTATATTTAATGCCTAGTGACCTAATGAAGCACTTTTGGAACTTTCCTAAGTTGACTTCGTTCACTTTTTACATCTTGAATTTTTACATTCCTTGCCTTTCACTAGATTTAAATTTAGATGTTGCGTAAAATAACGCCTTAAGGGAACATTTGATAGCACTTTTTTTCAGAAATTAGCAACAGCAAACAGGCTGTTACAAGTTGTGCAGGATACGCTGTTGAAGGCAACGAAGATACTTGCTCCGTTGTAATCGCGTCTTCAGCGTCTTATGGAACTGTCAACATTTTACATGGAAACGTAATAAGTTGCAATTTCACTGAGTGCAGAAGGAGAAGCATCACTGTTGAGCCCTCTTATGCTTTGTGCCTCGAAATTTTTCTTTTTAAAGGTTTTACAGTTTAAAACAGTTAAAAGTGTTTTCATTAGTACTTTCGTATCTTTCTTCCTTGAATAATGATTGTTATGACATTGGGAGAAGATAACGTCAGATATATTTTTTATCCTTATTTCTGATAATTTAGAGGTCCTTTTAATTGCTATGGGCACGTCTAACTGCAAATTAGAACTTTTCGACATTTCAAATTCGAAACAGGTAACCATACATGGTAGAAATAAAATCTTTCTTTTAAAAAGAAAATTTTTCACCGCAGGCAATTAAAAATTTAGGAAGTTGAAAAGTTTGCTGCTTTACCTGGTCATAGCGATTGGATCACGGATCTGTCTTTTAAACGTTCAGGTTTCTCAATCAGTTGTTTTTTGCCGCTTATATAAAGCTAGGTTTTTCTATGTGTTTGTAATTCTTCCTGAATTTGCAGACATTCCTCTCTTAGCCAGTTGTGGTCAAGATAACGTAGTGAGGTTGTGGCGATTGACCTGTTCTGGTACTGAAGAAGAAAATCAAGAGAAACTTTCTCCGTCGGGTGACACAGGTTTTTTAAAATATACTTTATGATGTAATTCAACTACCTTTCTTTTTCTTTTCGTTGTCATTAGTTCAAATTATTCCTGTAATGTGATTGCATTAAAATAGACTGAAACTGCCATTATTGCCATTACTGCCAAACTGCCATTACAGTTGTTTTTGCAGTGGTAAAGGAAAATCACTCTTTCACAATTGAGCTGGAAGCAGTTTTGTCTGGTCATGAAGATTGGGTTGTTTCAATATCTTGGCATCCGACTGATATGCAACTTTTAAGTACATCAGCAGACAAAAGCTTAATTATTTGGGAGCAATCTTCTGAGGGCAACGGAGTTTGGCTGGAAAAGGTCAGTTTTTCAATTACGAGGCAGTATGCATTTCAGTAGCTCTTTAATTATAGTTTTGAAGGTGAGGGTCGGAGAAGTTGGTGGACAAGCGTCTGGTTATAATGGAGGGTGTTTCGCACTTGGTGGTAGTGCTATTTTGGCCACTTCGTATTTTGGAGGGTTTTATGCATGGCTACCTGATGAGGTCGCTGTTTCTATAATTCACTTTGGAGTGTACAGAGAAATTCTTTTTTCGCTTTATATAGGAATTTGAAAATTAAATTTTCAAGTGGGAAGTAAGAAAGGGCAATATTTTAAGGTTTAAATTTCAAGGTACGTGTTACAGAAGCATCCTGGCGGTTTTAAGCCTTTGGCCGTTTTTAGTGGACATTCGCTGGGAGTTACTGACTTATCTTGGGACCCGACTGGCACTTACTTACTTTCTTGTTCATTGGACCAAACAGCTCGCTGTTTTGTTTTCACTGCGAAAGTAATGTGTGCATTTGATTAGTATTAAAAATTTATCCTTATTAATTTGCACATTTCATTATGCATTCTGAAAGTATTGATTTATATATGATTCCATTGTGAGTTTAGTGACTTTTTACAGGGAGGACATGCAGAAATTGCTCGCCCCCAAGTGCATGGACATGACTTCTCCTGTCTTAGCTCGATCTCACCGTAAGTATCAGGTGTAACTCTTAACTTTTTTAACCGTTATTATCTGTGGTGTATGATAAAATATATTCAGGTGCTACTATGTATCCGGAGCAGAAGAAAAAATATTGCGCGTATTCCAAGCGCCGCTATTTTTTGCTCAAACTTTGTCGAAAATATCGGAGATCCCTTTAGAGGTTTGCATACTTCTTCGCATACTGGGATTAAGCCATTTTTACAGTTTTTTTCCAGATGTTTCCTAGAGAAAATCTTGCTGAAGGTGGAGCGGCTGTGCCAGCACTAAGCCTTTCAAATAAGGAGATACAGGATGATTCCAGGATCCCATTTACGGAAGAAATAGAGAAAACTAAAAATGTTTTTATTGCCCCTGCCGTTCTTGAAGGTTGAGCAATTTTAAGTTTTATTGTTTATCGATTTTCTAATCCAAAAGTTTTGTTTTTTAGAACTGCCAACTGAAGACCGCCTAATGCAATCCACTCTGTGGCCGGAAGTTCAGAAATTGTACGGGCATGGGTTTGAACTTTTTGCAGTTGCGGCAAATCGTGCTGGTACACTGTTGGCTTCTTCTTGCAAGGTTGAGTTCAAAGAAAACTCATTCAACTTGTTATTTTAACGAGCGAGTATTTAGACCTATTCGTTACCAAAATTCTGCTACGTGTCATGAGATTAATTGGTTAGAGGTCTTATCTGTGGCTCAGAAAGTTGATTTATAAATGTAATTTCAAGGCAAGCAAGAAAGAACACGCAGCTATATTGTTATGGGAAACAAAGCGTTGGAAGAAGGTGGCTACTCTTTTTGCTCATAACTTGACGGTTACTCAACTGGTTTTTTCAAACAACGACCAGATGCTTGCATCAGTGTCTCGAGATCGGACTTTCTCAATTTTTTTGCAGTCACCCGGAAGTTTGTCTTCTGTCACCGTCATTTTAAAATGATACTCAGGATACTGATGGAAGTATTTGCAGATGAGTACGAGTGGACTTTGCTGTATGGATCCAGTGGCCAAAAAGATGTCCACTCACGTATTATTTGGTCATGTGCCTGGAGTCATGATGATAAGTATATGGCGACTTGCTCTAGAGACAAAAAGGCAAGGCATTTTATTTTTGTTTTTGCACATAAGTTGTAACTAACAGTTTTTAGTTGATTCTGTGGGGACTGAATGTTACAGAGCGCAAAGTTTCAAAAAAAACAGAGGTCACGCGGAGTGTTCCTATCACTGCAGTCGACTTCTGTGTTCCTTACAAACACAAGTATGTATCTGACAACTCTGAATCATTTATTTTCGTTACGTAACCCGTGTATCTTGACCTCAGTCATTTTAGTGGTCACCTGCTCGCTGTTGGATTGGAGAATGGCGTCATCGAAGTGTTACAGATGCTTGACGATCAGCTCCAATGCTTAGTTTTAATGGACCAGTCACTGGCCCATTCCAGAACAGTAAAGCGGCTTAAGTGCGTTTATTTTCTTGACTGAGGATGAAAAATTATATTGTGTAAATCAGGTTCTTATATTGGAAAAATTCCGAACGATACACACAATGCCTTTTCAGATTCCGGCCAAAGAGTGGGCCATGGCTAAAGTCAACAGATCAAGACGATGTTTACGAGCTAGCATCTGCAGGACTCGATAACGCAGTTAAAGTCTATAGGCTTCGGATCACCTCGCATGAATAATTTGAGGAAAAATAGATCATGCTAGACTTTGACTGAATAAACCGTTAATTCAGATTAACCTATATCCGATAAGGTTGCCTTTAATATGACGCATCGGACTTCCGTTAGCAAGAACGTTTTGCAGTATAGAAATTGATAATTGTTTAGGTAAGATGAAAGCATGGGAGTGCTCTAGTTAAAACTACAACAACCAACGGAGGGAAGGTGATAGCTTATGTGGTAACTTGCTAAATCTGTTGCTTCATTATTAAATTAACAAGTATTTATTTTTTTATCAGCTTACAGTACGTGGGGCAACTAGAAAAGAATCACAGTAAATCTGATTCGGAATGAAATACATTTTTTTATAGTTGAAAATTAGGAGCGGGGCTCGTTACCTAAACAACATTTGCCAGCTACGTTGCGGCAGCAAAATTAACTCGAGTGACAAGCTGCTGGACCGCATCTGCCAGAGCACGTGCTTCGCTTATTGTCGATGCTTCAGCATATATTCTAACAACGTCTTCCGTGCCCGAGGGCCTAATACCAAACAAATTGAGATTTGTTTAATGCTTGTTTAGAAGAAATTTCCATGCTTTTAGCCTGTCGAGTTGGAGTCAATACTACTTTTTTCCCTCCCTTGCTGCCGTGGAAATATACTTCTCCAAACACCGAGCATTTTTGATAATTTGATCGTAATAGAGGCAAACGAACTGGTTTAGGACCGCCAGTGCTTATCTAATAGGCGGAAAAGAACGAAGAAGTTTGATTTAAACACTCAGTTATAATTGCACTCAAGAATACTGATTTATCTTTAATCACCGTTTTTCTACTGTATCTTTGAGTGGGTTATTAAAGGGGGAGATGGAATTGAAAAACGAAACGCTTCAACTGTTGATCGAGCCCAAATTTCTCGAGAAGTTTGAAAAAGTCAAACTGAGTTTCAGCAATTTTGGAGGGACTACTATAAGATATGGTGTTATGCTGATCGTCTTCATGTAAAAAAAGAGTAATACCTCAGTGTTGGCGGAGGGCACATATTACCAAAGTAGGTATACTTCGAAAAAATTAAGTACTATCTGGTCAAAAGGTAAGTGGTGTCAGGATACTGTAGCCCATACCTCAGAAATTAATTTGAAATGACTGATTTGGTGTCAAACAGACGTTAAAGCTTGATTAGAAAGGTAAAATCAGAATTTGCGAACCGCTAGGCTGTCTAGCTTACCTTAAAAAGGGCGGAAAATCAACTAATTTTAGCTCTGTATTGAAAATCAAAGAAGGAATTCCCAAACCTTTATTTTTTTCAAAAAACCAATAAAACTGCCTTTACTCTTGCTCAACGATCAATTACTATTTCCTTCATCCTCACACTTAATTCAAATAGAAGCAACTAAGCTCTCGTTGTTCACTCTATTAGATTCAACCGTTACCAAGGTTAAGCACGTAGCTGAGAGTTAGAAAGCCCGCAGTTGTTACTACTTTGATTAAACTATTTAAAGGTGATTTATAATGGAGCAGCTAAGAATACCTGACAAAGGACCTTGCAGAATGATACTTAGACACTGCTTTATCAATATCTAGCTGTAGCGACGATGGTGAAGTTAATCTTGTCTCATCGACAGTGGTCTTAAATAACGAGCGGTCTCTGACCTTAAAATAGACAATCCAATCTATCTTTATAGAAAATAGTAAACTGACAGTGCTAAAAAATGTCGCAAGTCCGCAAATTTAAATGGAAAAACACATTTCTATCACAACGTTCACCAGTATTGATAAAAAATGATAAAGAACTACAGACCTTTACTTTAAGTTGACAACTTGGAAGATCTGAGTACAGTTTAGCTGCCCAGTCGACTACGGACCACTTGTAATGCATAAGCAAAGCCTCAACTGTAAGAAGGTCAGACATTGCATCCCCAACAACATCGTTGATAAGGTTTACGAGGAGACGCAGGCGTTTAAGTTCAATTTTTTCTTCGTTATTTCCCCTGAATGGGGCTAATAAAGAATGCAAAGTCAATCTGACAGAACCGCAGTGACAATAATTCCAGGAATGAAAATGCTGATTCTACCCAAGGTTAAACACTTTTCAACAACTAGAAATCATACTTCTGAATGAACTTCTTAAACCTGTCACTGAATACCACTGTGCCATGGCCATTTGCTTCAAAATATATTCCAACATCGTATTTTAGTGCTTCGTGGTGCAGGTGTTTCACTCCAGTTGGAACCATTGCTGTATTTACCTTCTAAAAGAAATTAAAAATGAAGATGATCAACTTCGATCGACAGAAGGAAACATTTGCAGCAAAAATCAGTAAAATTTCACAGCCGATGCTCTTTTCAAAAGAAACATGAGAAGAATCAAAAGGAGCAATAAACATGAAATGTACTAGTGTCTCCTTAATATAACGCGTCGAACCTCCGTTAGCATAAGCAGTTTGCACTACGGCAATTGAAAACTGTTCAGACAAGCCAGAAGCATGGAGGTGCTGAAATAAGAAACAAAACAATTAAAAAGGAAAAGTTGGTTAAGAATTCTGATTTGACCATTTTCTGTCAAATACTAAGAAAATAAAAGCTGAAACTCCGGTCGGTCAAGACTTACTTGGTATGCTAAGTACGATTGACACATGAGAAGGAACGAAGGAGTTAGTAAAACAGACCTCTTCGAAGAATTTGGCAATTAAAGTCGCAATTTTATCGCCATCCAGAAGAACGAAATTGCCTTCATCATTTTGAAAAAAATACAACAACCGATCCGCATCCCCATCAAGGCTCGCACAGCGATTATTCTTTGATACAGAAGAGAAACCTTTTGGGAATCTAGCTTCTAACTTTACGTAATCGGCTCCGCACTAAAACGGTACCAATCGCAACTAATTCAACATTTTTTTTACAACCTAAACAAACTTGTCGTTAGTTTAGACAAACCTCCTTATTTAAAACGCCATTTGTATTTAGTAATGACCAGTTGATGACACCTGGTTTCAAACGACTCAGCAGATTTTTTAATTTCAAAGCCCCCACCCCGTTAGCGCAATCAACAACTAATGGTTCACTGTGCTGCTCTGACGAATTCATTACCTGAAACAACAAAGATTTTAATTCATCTGGAGTTTCCGAACAAAGACCGGAAGTTGTACTTAAGATGATGGTAGCAACAAGTATTGTAACCAATCCTCATTTTAGAAGAGTAGTCAATTTTTTCGACACCTCCAACAACTCGTTGAACGCCTGGGAATATTTCTGGTAGTAGCCCTCTTCAGAAGGAACACCGTAGGTCTTGTCATTAAAGCAGCGTACAATGTAATGGAGTTGCGGTGTAGTAAGTAAACCTTGAATAGTTAAAAAAGACTATAAATTTATGAAACAGTGCTTGAAAAATGTGTATCTCCTATTTAAAAAACGCAGGAAGTCCAAATAAATTTAAGCTCAATAGCTAAAGACCATATGAAACCAAAATCGCCAACAAATTAAAGCTGAAGGTCTTCAGAGATAATTAAAAGTAACGCTCTGTTAGGAATTAAACTACTTAAAACTTTTCATAAATGTACTACTTCCAAATAAAAGCTTAGTTTGCACAGTTTGTTTTTACAAGAACACATATTGCTTTGAAACTTTCAGTTGGTATTAGTAACTCATCAGTTTTTTTGACCAAAAAATACTGAACCGCAATGTGTGCATACCATGCAAATGAAACTTGCAATGAGCAGACTCGATACCACAACGTGCCGCTTCTGAAAGATGCACTGAACTTGGACGTGTGTCGTAACCACACAGCACTTCACCTGAACTATGCGATTCAGCAACGTAAGTTTTCCATAACTGCGATCGCATCTTTTCATATTCTCCATCACTGTAATACTACTAATTAAAAACATCTCAGAGGAAATTTGAAGTTGGTTCTAATAGTTTGATTTATTTTGAACCGATTTACGATGAGAAGAGGAAGTCCTAATTGCAATTCAAAAACCTGCAATTAACGAGATCGGTAGCTAGCTTTTCCCACTTCATTTCAAGCATTTCTCCCATAGGGTCAATTATCTTTACACCATTATCTTCTTCTGGATTATGCGACGCAGTTATCATCAAACCAACTCCTTTACCCAGCAGCCTAATTAAGGAAAAGTAGGAAGTAAACGTGTATAAAAAATTCCAGAAAAATACAAAAAAAAATTTTTTCTAAAGATTTTTTTGCTTGCCCTCAAATTTCCTCGCAAAAACTGAAATGGTCTAATAAACTAATAATCTGAAATGCCAAGATAACAAGAAATTTTAAGGTACTTAGATCGTATTCCAGCCAAAAAACCCATCCGGTAGATGAGAAAGGGAAGCTCGATCGCTAAAGCACGGAATCCTGCTGTTCCATAATTGAATAATCGTGTGCTGGCAATCGCTCGAACTATACCCTGATGGTCGGTATTTCCATCCCTTGTAAACTTTTCCGGCACAGCTGCGAACTCCATCTGGTAAATGGCACCAGCAAAGTGTATGACAACAGTTGATGAAAAACGTATTTTTTGGCGAATGTACAAGTAAAAATGTATTTAAACGTCGGAAAATATGGAACTAAACGTGAAATAATTCTGTTAACACAACCCATTAAAAAATATAAAACTTGGTAAACTTTGCAGGTACTGTAGAAATTTAGTGATTACTTGAATAACAAATAAGCAGTTAAAAGACCGACTGAAAATAACGTTAAGCCCCTGATCTACCTGTCAGATGACTATTTTCAGAAACTTTGGTTCAGTTTTTTATCTTTTACAGCAATAAAAAAAAAGTAAACAATTTTGTCATAAAAGCTATATGAATTTAGAAGAACACTGGGAAATTGAAAAAAGTGGGCAACTGCGGAAATTTTTGAACTAACATAAGCGTAAAATGGAGCAACAAAGGCAACATCAAATGGCAATAACATATTTCAGTGTTGCTCAAGCATAAATTCTTTTTTCTGACTTAACATTCCTGCACAAATCGAGCCATTGCGACAGTGTCAGACAAAAGTAAAAAGATTAGCTGATGACACTTTCATCGTAATCATCTTCTAAAGTTTATTTAAAAACCACCGCTACTCTTAGGTACAGATGGAATTCAAATTAAACTTAAGGGTCTTGATCTGTGGTTGATGAAAGCGTTCGACAGCTACAACCCTTATATATCTAACCTTGAAGAATAAAAGTTGACGTGGTCTACTAAAGAAGTCCTAAATACCGCTTAACAACCAATCGAGCATTAGTCATTGAAATGTTTTAGTAGCAAATAAGAAGACCAAATAGATAGGACAGGAAAAGCACGTAGAAATAGATGCGAATACAGTATACAGATTATAAACAATAAAGCAAAAAAAGGAGCAGAAAAAAAGATAAATCAAACATGTAACTTTCTGATAAGTTCTAATCTACAATTAATGTTTAAGGACTATAATCACCTGGAAATTTTGAACCACCGTTCTGTTTGCCATCGACAAATGCTCATTTCCAAAAAATTTTGTCGAAGACAGTTTTCTATACAAATAGGTCTTTGTTAACACTAAGAAGAAAGGATCAATTAGAGGAGTGCATTTGCATAGATGGAGATGTCCTACTTTAAGACAATTAAAACTAACTGTACTCCACTTCTTCCTCTTCCCCTTCAAAACAAAAAAAGCAGTAAATTAACATTTGTTTACTAAAAGAAAAAAATGCGTCAAACAGCTTTTTTAAGCGTAATCAACTTTGTAATTTTGAACACTCCAAAACAATTAAATTTTATTTTTTCTCGCATAAAATTTATATGGCCAAGAAATTGCTGAAGAGACCAGGTGGCAATAAGCTGAGAGCAGAAAATCAAACAGTTTTACGAATTGAAATACAGTGTGGCAATTAAGAAAAAAAAATGAAAAAAAAAAGAACCAAATATTTAAAAAACTGTTGACTTATTTTTAAAAACTGTACTCTTTTTTTAGACTTTGCGGTATCAGAGTTTCAAGTAATATATTTATAGACCTTTTTGCTTTCTGTACTTTTAAACCGCTCATCATATGATTATAATCAACGGTATGACACACAAACAAACACAAAAGAACTATATTCAACTGTAGCCAATCTGACGATAATAAGCAAAAATGACATCTCTGCCGAACATCTAAAATAACAGTTTTAAAATGGTCAATTTTTCTTCACTCCAAATACACCAAATTTTCTCGCTTTTTTTTTTTCTTTATCACTTGTCTAGGCAATACGTTAGAGCAATACAACTTTCGTTAAATAATACCTTTAAACTATACTACATGTACGCACAACTGAGAGGAAATGAGAGAAAAAGCACGTTTTTACTAAGCGCTACCCTGAAATACTCATCTAAAACATAGACTGTCTAGTTCATCCGTGCCTTTTGAAGGCAAAACTTCAATACAAACTAAAATTTGAGACGCCACTTTTTCCAGAATGTATTCCTGCAATTTAAAGGCCAACACACTATCACCACAAAGACATAAAGCTTTGTAATCGTTTCCCAGCCTTACTACTTGTTAATTATTGTCAAGCCATGTAGACTTGAGAACCAACAATGTTAACGTGAAGACAACTTTACCAAAAATTCTCAACACTAATATTCAAAGCCTTAACCGGAAACTAATTTCTTGACCAGTCATAAAAAACATCTGCTCCGAGTTTGCTATGTAAATTTCACCAAAACTACTTACTACAGCAGAAGAGAAATACTTTTATCAAGGCAAATCGTCTAGACTAGTATTATCAACCATCTTTATTGAAACTTTTAAGTTGAAACACCACATGTAAAACATTTTATGCGAAAATTAAAATTGGGTGTACCATACCAGAGGAGCGATATAATTCAAAACTCAGACTATCCCGGCGCTACCTACAGCACCACTCCTTGTTCGTACGCAGGAAACCTCGAAAACCCACGTCAATGCTGGATGACATCAACATAGACAACGTAAAATAAGCTACCCAGGTTGGTGCAAAAAGCTGATCTTGCTTCAAACTTACCACAAACTCCATTATCAATTACCTGTAACCTCTGCTCTCAAGCATAAACCTAACTTCTGACAGGACCAAGCTAGAGTTTACTCAACGACGGAAGAATAAACAAAGCAACTTGGAAATGGACTGCTCCACTCCGCCACAACAGCTTCGGATACTTCAGTACTCACTTCGCACTTTAAACCGTTTCCAAGCTTGAAGTACGCCCAAAGAAGTACGCCGCCGTTTCAACAGACATATGGACCGGAAGAAAAAATCTCCTACCGAGAAAACAATAACTGCCTTGACAAAGGTATGAAGACACTTTGCGGGAAGGTCATTTTTTACTGTAACAACGGAACAGGAGGATGTAGAACAAATTTGCAACAACTTTAAACGACAGTACTAACTGCACATCTAGGACAATCCCAGAACTTAAATAAGAAGCTTTTTTCAAAAAAAATACCACTTGAAACATGTCCGCGTCTAAAAGACAGAAAAAACATGCAACAATCCACATGAGCAATGAGCGAGTATTGTATTTCCCATACCATACACCAAAGCTCTCAATAAATATTTATCATTGCATTTCATATACATACATGAGAACTGAAGTTTTCCATCATTATAACGCCCAGACAATGTCTCGAAAACCTTAGCGCAGCAACCAGCTCAAAAATACAAAGATGCGACAATGTTTGGGAAGCCTCACGAAAAAAGAAAAAATAGGCGCTGCTGGCGTAAATACCTCTCGAGCACATTTCTTCTAGCTCTTCAGTTTACACCTCCCTTTATAACAAATCTGTTCCAGGTATTATCTAAACCCTGCTTTTTCAGCGGTTCTAACCCTTTTAAAACGGATAGCACAACAACAATAACCAGCTACAAATTACTGAATGAAACTCTATCAGTAAACAAAATCTGCACTTCCAGCAAAACACCAAGATTATAAATGCTACAATGACGATATAACAACAACAATAATCATAAAAATTTCCATAAAAAACTGGGAAAAATGAAAGCTATTTTACATACAAAACTTTATTCAAACTCTATAAAATAAGTCACCAAAACAGCAAAACAAACACTACGAACCTTCAAGTTTGCCAAAAAAGAATTCAAATGTTTGGCCTTACAGCCCTCAATAAAATCAAGAAAAATCGTGTGAGATTTTACCCGCAAGTCCTTGTTATAGAAAGTTTCATTAATCCTCATCTGAATCCTGAAACTATTAAATGTGATATCAAAACGCATGATGTTGAAACTCACTTTTCACTGATAGTAATAAAACCACTTACAGCGTCATCATTTTTCACTTCACTCTTCAGTTTTTTCAGCGGTTTGTCATCAGACAGGCCGCTGCTACTTTCATCGTCAGAAATATATTCTTTAGATTTTGCTTTTACAGGTGTCTTTGTTGGAGAGCTGAAAAATATTTATTGGAATGCAGCACACATGTAGAGCTTGAAGAAACCGCAAGACTAACACTGAAGCTGTTTTAAAAACCAAAAGAAAATGAAAAAAACTTATAAAACTTGCTTTGTCTTCTGTTTTTTAGAGGTTGACTGTTTTTCAGAGCTGAAAGCTTCCATGCCACCACCAGCCTCTTTATACTCCTTCATTTCTTTCGCATAGCGTTCTCGGTCTTCCGCAGCTTTCTTCTCATACTTCTGTAAGATCCAATCACAAAATTAGCTTTTATTGTAAAGAAGAAATAACCGGTAAGGCAACTCTTCTCGAAAGCAATACTTCTGCTAGAAGCAAAAACTGCCGCAAAACTACTACAGTAGCACTATAAAACACTACGATAATAGTAATGACAAACCAAGTTCTCAAACCATCTCAAATATAGAACCTTATAAAAAAGTAGTAAGCCTCACCTGTTTAGTCTCTTCATCCAATTCACGCCAAAGCTTTCCGCCTCTTTGAGCAACTTCAGAAGCAGTTCCGCCTTCTTTTTTCAACGCAGCATGATTGTCACGAAACCATAGGAAATAAGCAGTTTGTGGCTTCTTAGGAGCGTTTGGGTCTTTCTTCTTTTTTTCCTTTTTACCGCCTCCCTTATCTACTTTTTCGCTCTTTTCCTTCTGGAAACTTGCTTTTAAACTTCAGTGTTTTAGAAACTTACACGCAACCCAAATATTAGTCATCAACCGCACCTTAGGCCTTTTAGGTTTTGGTTCTTTCAATTTTTTCTCCTTCTTCTTACTGGACTCCTCATTATCAGAACCTGAGACTTCTGAAGCCTCACTGCTATCGTATTCTTCATCTGGTTCCGACCCCTCCGAAGAACCCTCTTTGGCTTTTCTTTTCCTCGTATCTGCCTCAACATCGTAATCTTCTGAAAAATTTCCCGTTGGATGAATATTTGAGTCACTTATCTGAGGAAAACACCATCAGATATTGCCTGCTCTCATAAAATCCATCTAAGTCTCACCGTCCTCACTGTCAGTCTCCTCACTTTCCTCCGCAGCTTCCTTATCTTTGCCTTCTTGGACAACAGTTTCCTTGTAAGGATCTATTTCGTCATCACTACCAGCAAATTTATCTTCTGCATAATTTACCTTATCCTGTAAAATGATGCAGTTGTTAAAACAAGTAAAAGTGAAAAATGAAGGTTTAGAAAGTACCAGTCGTTTTGCATTCCTTATCCGCAAGCGTTTGTTGGTAGCGAAGTCAAAAAGCCGATTATACTCCTCCCTAAAAGAAAAAATTTAATATCAAATACAGTAGCTTCAAACCAGAGCACATGAAAGAGACGCGAAACAAATGACGTACTTCTCTACACTGTTAAATACCAGTGTACTGCCACCTTTGAGCTCTATCTCAAAATCAAAGGACCGAGTAGAAACATCTGAGCGGGCAAAGTTGACGGTGCTTATCTGAAATAACGGTAACACACCACTAGAAACAGTTAAAATAACGCTTAATCGAAAGAGGGGAGCGTGAATAAATGACTAGTTTTTAATAGAACTCACTTCTTCAAACCTTATGTACATTGGTGGTTTATGAACATAAACAAAACCCTTTTCCAAGGGATATAAGAAACCGGAAGCTTGCTTGTGAGCACACATTACTGCTGGAGTGCCCGAATGACTAAAATACCAACAGTTAAAGAAAAACTGAGTAATACATGGAAAATACAAAGTGGATATCAAATGCAACTATGAAAAAAATAAAATAAATTCTTTACTGACTCACCCAATGAAAGTCCCTGGCACAGTAATTTTCATATCAACAATAACCCGGAAAATTTTTGAAACTACTTCAAAAACAGTCCCACTCAACCTTTTTTCAAGTTTCCCTTTATACTGTTCTTTCAACTGCTGCCTGAAAAAGAGGAAGACCACTTGCACGTAAACTAAACAGAGCAATGAAAAAAATGAAGTTGTAAAAAAAAGTGAAAAATTACTCTGTTAGCCCTAAATCAAGTTCTATTTCTTCGTCCTTAGTAAACTCCAAAACCAGAAAGTGGTAGCGAGTCTGACCTTGCCTAATCGGAGGATTGAGGCTGATCTGATAAAAACAAACAAAAACCACTATTTGTTAATCAACAACAGATGAACAAAGCAAAAATAGAAAACGGAATCTTGCAGAAAACAAGTCAAATTGAAAAGAAAAAGTAGCTTACAACAAAATACATATGACGGCCATCCTTGTGTGGTAATAAGAAGAGGCGCATAATGGTTTTAATAGGAATCTTGTAATCGTAAGTTTTACCGTGTAACGATAAATGATTCTGATATACTTTGATGTCATAACGACCGCTAAAATTCATGTAATACATTAAATCAAATTAATAAAGAAACTTATTGAACACCCACAACGAAAGGAAAACTAACCGAGGAGTAGTACACAAAATTTGTAGCAAAGTTGCAACAGGTTGGTCAGTTTCAGTCTCGATGCCTGCAAACTCCATAACGGAACGGCGAAACTCCTGGAAACAAATATAAGAAGCAGAACACTTATGTTCCCACTAAAAAATAGTCTGTTAAGTTAAAAACACTTACCACTGAGTAACATAAGCATTAAATCTTTGAATAACGATGCCAACAACAAACCTCAACAGGATCTGCATCCTCATCTGCATCAGGATCAGTTGGTATATGGAAACGCATTTCCATCAAAGAAACTGCGCAGTCCTCATTCTGGTGAAATTCAAGGACAGTTTCGCTTTTTCCGGCAGTACAATTACTGACATTACTCAGTGGAATTTCAAAACATGGTTTTCCATCAACAACAAATTCCAGTAACTGACCTGTATGAAAAATATATACTGAACTAAAAAACCAAAAAATCTTCAACAGATGTGCTTCTACACGGTATACCTACTTTCAAGCTCACTACCAATACCTAAAAAAGGGATGCAGAAAGACTAGAATGTTTATAAACAGAAGTTCTAAATACCTTCAAATTCCGCCTTTCCATAATTCCATCCTTTTATAGACTGTTCGACAGGAAGCAGCTCCTGCTCCCAATTTCTCGATGCAAATGCCTTTATCTTTTCAAGCTCCTTGAAAAAAATAATGTTAAGCACAAAAGAGCGTACTATAATCAAATTTAGTTGTTTGGGAAACGTGAAGAAAAAAACAAAACCATAACACTGATTCAGCTTACAATGAGATGATAATATTTTAAGATAACCTTTATAACTTTCGCTCCCTAAAGTTTCAAAAGTTAAAGCCTCAAGAATACAAGCTTACAAAAATTACCTTTTCCGAAAATCCACCAAACCGATAGCCGATGCCATTTTTCAGAGAGACTTTGATACCCGGCTTGTTAGCCAACCGCATCCATGTTATCTTTTTTATTTCAGAAGCATCAATTGTCTGGACTTTGCCAGTTTTCGTATTCTTAAAAGTGATTTGCCCATCAGCTAGTCGGATCCGACCGTTGTTCTGCAAAATTACGTACGACGCAAGCATACGAGAGTTGGGTAAATCACGCAAACCGTATAAACAGTTTTACAAAAGAGCCTTTTTGGAAAATGTTAAAAACTACCAAAAATCCCATATCTTCCTGCACAACATTGTTGTACTCGAGGAATGCATCCATTACGAAGATCCCTGTAAAAGAAAAAGCTGGTTATAAGCATCCTGGTATACTCACAAGCAAAAAACTTTCAGATTTTTACAATAGTGTAAATATCGAGGCGAGAAACATGAAATTATTATGCGTGACCAAACTAATTAAACAAGAAAATCAAGTTTCTATTCAAGTTGTGTCTTCCGTATTTTCTTGCTTCTAGAAAAACCATGTCAGTAAAATACAGCAACTCTTGAAAAAAGCTTTTATTTCTCTTTCTTTTTATTTCTAAATGCAAAACATCCTTATATTCATGTTACCGCAACTCTCAACATCTATTAAGAAACAGTGCACTGTAAAAACGAGATTCTCAACAGCTGTTTTCCCATTGCCTGACATCATAACGCGCCATAAAACATGATGAATCAAAAGCAATATTTTATTTACTAAAGATATTGCTGTAGAAGGCAACGACTGATGGTAGAACACTTCCAAAAAGAGGTCGGTAAATAAAGACAACCGATCCCGCAATTCCAAAATCTATTTCGTACGACTTTTTAAGGGAATTCTGTTTTCTAAGCCATTCCTGCACGCAAAAAAACTTTCATATATGCACCTTTCTAACACCGTTCACCATCATCGACGAATTTATCGGTGAATGCCACTTCGAATGATCTTTAAGACCCATTTGGTTATTAAAAATCAAAGTTGGCGGTAAAACGAGTCGTCCGCCAAAATAACTGTACGGTAAACACAAGTCAGCGACCCAGAATATAGCTGCCAGTTATTTGTACGCGAACGAAAGTCACCGGTGTAGGAATTCAGTTTTTTCAAGATACACACTTGCGTTTATTGACTAGTATGCCACAAAAAGTGTTTATGAAGTCTCCCACAATTACACATGACTGCAACAGCGTTAACGGCTTTCCATGCAATAATATGGACGAAATGGCTGTTCGAAATCAAATCAGCTTGGTCCAACGCTTTTAAAAATTACCACTTCGTCAGTCTACCTTCACGAATAGAAAGGTAGTTTAGATTCTTCAAATTCCCATCCAAAAATGTGAACCTCTACGGCTGTGCCACAACTTATCAACAAAACACAAAAGTCAGTTGCTCCTTAATCTCTAGCTGCCTTTCACAAAATCCTTCTCAACCTTTCAATACTTTCTGCCCATCTTAGAACCCTTCCTCCTGCAAATTTCGACCTCTTCACGCAGTATCTTGATTCCTCCGAAACCTCTCCAGAAGAACCACTGGCCTTCCGCCTAAAAGCGACCGTCGATTTTGCCGCGGACAATGTTTTCAATTTGCTATAGTGCTGCATCTCCACTCTAAGATTTTAAAGTAGGCGGCAAACTGCCAAATACTTCCGCACCACTTTCCCAGAGATCTTGAGAAGAACTGCCAAATATACTGGACCGAACAGAACGCACAAGATTATGCATGAAGAAACGTTTGGTACGAAATTAATCGGTCTATGGTTGAACACCCCAAAAAACTTATCCGAATCCCATATTGCTCCGTCGCATCATTTTTTCCTCCTGTAGTATTAGAAACACTTTAGTGGAAAGTCCATTTCGAAAGGGTTTCTGCTTCTACTTTATTTTAGAAAACTATCAGTATTACACAACAGATATGAGTAAAACTGCCTAAACTGGCAACACCCTATCCACTAAACAAAAGCTCCTATTCATGTCTCCAAGAATGAATAGTGGAGTAAAATATTCAGGACATTTCAGGAAGTATTTGCTCCTATGCCTATTTACATCTGCAGTCACCCTGGAACAGACTTCCCTACTATGATCCTGGAAACTACAGCCGCCACCAGCTCATTCCGAATCGTAACAGCAAATAGTCTGGAAAAGCCTCTGTCCGTCCTGAAATACAAGTTTTAAAGTTGTTACTACACAGTCTCAAAACTGCAACGCAAAATTTTTTTGCCAATCAGCAGCTGGCATGTTTTTAGTCACATCAGTTATAAATGTCAATTAATGATATAATAAGAAATACCCGCTCCCGCTGTAGCCAGATCACGATCGTACACATTATTCATAACAACTTCATGAAGTGATTCTTTATTAACTTTCTCAATGGCTTCCTCAATCTCTACCAGTGATGGAATTTTACTCGAACAAAGCGCCTGGAAAACTCGTCCACATTACTGTAAGCTATCGTTTTAACACTCTTTAATTTCAAGAAGAATTTACGATTATATAGTGGAAGTTACTTTTGAAACCATTCTTTAACAACAAAAATCCGAGATATAAATTCAGTACATGTCTGCCGAGATCGTCCGCTCGCAAAGAATTTGACTCGAACTGTGAAAAAACATTGGTTTTCAGAGCATTTTTTGCTCGATCAATTTCTTCATCTGTTGTAGTGGTTGCCAAATACTTCCTGGTGTAAACAGTAGAATGCAAATTAAAGTTTAAGATGAACACTCGAAAAAAAAAAAGAACGCCACTCCTTAGATTCCACTAAACCGGCAGCTCAGATATGTGGTAAAAAATTTACCATTCTTTCTGAATTGCCTGCAAAAGGTTAAAGACGAAGGCTATGTCTTTCCCTTCTGCAACAAAATGCACTCCAAATAAGCCAGTATGTTTATAGTTCAACAAGAAGGACTGATACAGATGGATATCCGGCATGTTACAAACTTTTTGCACCAATTTGCTAGAAGAATTTGAGGAGTTCGCAATTCTTCGGTCCCACTGACCAACAATCTAAGGTTCATATACCATTAAAAAGATGAAAATAAGTAACAAAAGTTCATCCGTAAACAAATCCAGCAGAGAATAAAGCTGTACCTGGACCGATTACCTATTGTTATGAACGACAGGTTAGAATAAAACTCATTATACAGAAATGCAGAAGCCCTTAATAACT